CCTTCCTCTGTTCTTCCCCACTGCTCCCACCCAGCCGCCCGCCCGCCCGCCTGCTCCTCCTCTGCTTCTGCATTTGGACTGGCGGATGGGAGCATTACGTTTTCCTCCACTCCTCCCTGCCTGTTTCTTAGGGGAGCTCCGCTCAGCCTCTCCCCCCAAGTCACTTTGCATTAGCTCAGCCTGGGAGCATCGCGGCATCCGCGGGGAGAGGCCTCCCCCTTTGCCATGGCGACAGGATACAGGCTGGCAGGGGACCAGCTGGATGCCTGCAATCAGGAAGAGAAGGGATGCTGCTGCAGCCGCTCACCTCTGGATGGAAGAGGATGTGCCAGGAAGGGCTGACTCACCCTGATGGGAACTCTGGGGCCAAGCGGGCCCCCTAAGGCTTTCTCCGGATGAGATTTGGCCCACCGCCCTCGCTCTGTTCTGAGGCTGGGGATTGTTCACCGGTGGAAATCAAGGTTCCTGCTCCAGCTTCAGCCATTTGTCTTTGCTGGGCAGAATGGGAGAGAAGGCGGATTACCAGCGGCTGGCAAGCGGGGAAGAGGAGGAGACGGAAGGGCTCGGAAGCCCTACTTCTGCCAGCTTTGCAGGCCCCCTGCCTCCAGTGCCCAGGCCCGACGTGTTGGTAGTGCCAGGGCTGAGGGTCAGTATGAGATGGAATGCAATGGCTGGGAATTTGGAGGGGCTTTGTGACTTCCTCATCTCTAATGGGCCCCATTGCTTTTTTTGCAAAAACCCTGCGTCTTGTGCCAGCAGACCCTTGCAATTTCGGAAGTGTTCCTGAGGGGTCCTGTGCCAGCCCTGCAGACAGCAAGGAGATCTTGCTTGCTGGACTGACTATCCCTGCCAGAATGCTCCCGGGTTCAGGGCGGGCTCCCTCCTTCTTCTGTTGCTGCTCTGCATTTCTGGAATAACCCCCACCCAAACCGCCTCTCCCAGTGTGGTCTTCCAGGCACGTTGGACTTCTCCTCTCGGTTGGGGGTTGATGGGAACTGAAGTCCAACGTGGCTGAAGGGCTGCTGAAGATGTTTGGGATGGTACCCTCCCGTTGCCTCTGTTCCACTCCTGACATTGTTTTCCAGAACCTTTCTGCAAAGCTTTTAACTTTATTTCTTCATCTCCCCACCCACTCCCAATTACGTATTTTGGGGTTCTTAATGCTGCTTTTCAAAAGTGAGACTGCATTTGCACCGTCTGCATAATCGGGTCAGGTAAAGACTTAGCTGTATATGGACAAAATACTGAACTGGGTCAAAGTTAACCTGGGTTAGGATTTTTCCTGGGTTAGTGGGTTGTGCAAACAGCCTGATCGGTGAGTTTGTGGCTTGTTTTAATGTTCAAAGCCATCTTGCAGATGACTAAAGGTTTTTTTGGTTTTTTTTTAAATAGCACCACGATAGCCTCATGATTGGCTATTTAAAAAAAACATTTCTGAAGTGTAACAAATAACTCCAAAATAACAGGACCGATAATTAAAAATCCCAACATCCCCAAATTACTTCTGCCCGTGAATTCCCCAAAAGTTGAACCTGATTCCCTTCTACCAGGTCCCAAGCAAGGGTTGATTGAACTAAAATGGTTTTTGGGACCTTAAAAGCATAGGATGGAAGGATTACAAGGGATCTTGAAGATCATTTAGTCCAACCTCCTGCTAATTCAGGACTCCATCCTGAAAGATGGCCCTCCAACCATCATGTCCCACAGTCTCTCTCTGCTATGCTAAAAATGGGGGGGGGGGTTGTCTGTTTCTATCTCTGTGGGGAGGGGCAGAGGATCAGTTGTTGCTCCCCTCCAGATAACACTGTCTTTGGGGCTTTTATTTTGATTTTTTACTGTTTTTATGTATTATCCGCCCAGAGTCATTGGAGCCAGCTCAAGAAACCCAATGGGTTTTTAACGCAAGACAACTCTTAATTGCTAAGAAGGTATTTATAATCCGTTTCACATATAGCCTGCATCTTCATCACCCCCCCATCTCCCCTCCCTTCTCCCCAACCTCACCCCAATCTAAATCCTGCATCAGTCTATCCATTCCATCGCATTGGGGGAAGTGGGCTGCGGCTCATGAAAGCTTTTGCCTTTGAATAAAGTGCATTAGCCAAGAAAGGGGGTAGCAGACTCCTGATTTCTGCCTCCATAAACTGACCTGGCTGTCTTCCTATAATGATTTGGTCTGTGTAATTTTTCCTTTTGAAAAACGAACAGGGAAAAGGCCAGATAGATTTCTTTCGGAGAGTGCCTTGGATTAGAAG